AAGTGGTAAAATATTTTATTTAATATGAGAAAGATATGGGTTTGTAGAATTAGTTTTAGTTTTATAGTTAAAAATATTTTTGATATGATTGGAAATATTTTGACTAATTGTTTTTAATAATGGATTTTTGTGGAGGTAAGGTTTGTGTTTTTTTTTTTTTTGTTTTTGTGGTTTATTGTTTTTTATAAGTGATGTAAAGTTTGTTTCATGGCATGTAAATTTTACAATAATTACAATTTAAAAACAATTGTCTGACTGCTAACATGAATTCCACATATGTGGAACATTTATGGAAATTGTTTTGTTGATATTGTTATATGAGATTGTGGAATGTATATGTGTTAAATGTTATGGGGGGAGTAGGGGAAAGTGGTGGTAATTTTGTATAATTATAATTTTTTGGGGAGAATTAAGATGTTAATGTGAGAGAATTATTATATTATTGTGGTTTTGGTTTGTATATATGAGGGTGTTTATGGGAAGGGTTGGTGTGAGCGAGTGAGTGTTTTGGTATTGTTTTTGATTTTTTGGAATGAGTTATAGTGGGGGATGGAATATGGAGGTGGTGTTATTGGGGATTATTTTAGTTGAGAAGGTGGGGAATATGTGGGGGTATGATGGGGGTATGAATGTATTGGGGGGGGTTTGGGTGGTGGGGGGGGGGGGTTTTTTGGTATGGAATGGTATTTAGGTATTGATAGGTGTTTTTTTGAGGATTTTTTGGATGAGGTTTATGGTTGTAGGGTGGGGGGTGGTTGAGATGGGTAGGGAGAAGGAAGATAATGGGGTGGGGGGGGTTAGGGAGTTGGATAGATGTATAGGTGTTATGGTTGGGGGGAGGGGTATTATTATTATTGTTTTTGTGTTTTGTGGGTTAAATAGAGAGATAGCGCTAGATCGAGTAGATATGAGTTGTTTTGTTGTAATATGTGTGATGTTTTGGTTTAGTTTGGTGTATTGTTGTGTTTTGGTGGTTGGGGTTTTGGGTTTTTAGGGTTAGAGTGGATATTTGGGTTTGTGGTGTTTGGAAGATAGTATATGTGTTATGTGTGATGTTGTTTTTAAATTTATTTGTGGATAGGGGTAGATGAATGAGATAAAAATGATAAAATGAAAAGTGTGAAAGAGAGAGTAGGGAAAGATAGTTAGAAGATAGCTAGATCTATCTGTAAAAGGAGTAAAGAAGAGAGAAGAAAAGAGGAGGTGTTATTAAATATTAGTGGGATAGGGGTAAGAAGAAGAGAAGCGAGAAAGAAAGAAGAAAATAATAATAGAGGATAAAATATATCTCTCTTTAAAGGAAATTAGAAAAAAAGAAGTAGAGAATATAGAGAGTTTAGTTTGAATATGTGGAATAAGGGGGGTATAAGAAGAAGATGGAGGAAGAGAGAGGGAAATAGAAGAGAAAAAAGGAGAAATAGGGGGATCTATCTCTCTTAATAGAATATAAAAAAATGGGGGGGAGGTGAATGTATATATAGAAAAGATTTAGATGTATTTAAAATGTTATTTATATGTGAATATGGGGGTAGAAGTGGAGTTAGAGGTTTATTTGAAAAAGATTTGTTTTTGAGATGTGGGGGGTCTATATTGAAAAAAATGTTTATTAGGTTTATTTTTGAAATATAGGTAGAAGATGTAATTTATCTTATAAAATTTTTGTAAAGAGTGGGGGTTTTTATGGGTGGGGTTTTGAGGAAGAGTAGATTATAGGGTTATTATATTTTTTCTATGTGTAATATGGAATATTTTGATTTGTATTGTTGATAGGTGTGAGCGCGAGAGAGAGATGATGGGAAGGGGATTGTGGATTTAAGGGGGTTGTGGGGATATGTTGTTTGTTGGGGAGATGTTGGGGGTTTTGGGGGATTAGTTTTGGTTGAGTGGGGGTTTTTTTGTTAGGTTTTTTTAATAGTTTATGGTTTGGTTAGTGGTTGAGTTTGTGAGGTTTTGATTAAAGATTTTGTTTGGATGTGGGTTGTATTTGATTTTGGTAGGTGGGTAGTTATATGTGGTTTGGTGATGAGATTATGGGGATTGGTTTTATAGATTGGGTTATTGTTTTTGATTATGGGTATTGGAAGTATCTGTGTTTGGGTGCGAGCGAGTTTTGTATTGGATTGGTGTGAGATTGGTGGGGATGATGTTGGTATTTTAATGGGGAGGAGGCTTATCGAGTTATTAATATTTTTGTTTTTATAATGAGAGTAAGGGTATTTTTTTTTTTGTTTTGGCGAGGGGTTGTAAGTTGTAGTTGGTTTGTTGGAGGGGGGATATTTTTGAATTATTGTTATATGTATCTCTTGGTTAAAGTAGGATGATATTTTAGTTTTGGAATGAGGGTAGTTATTTTTGTATGTATTAGAGTTTATCTTAGTATTTATGTAGGGTTTATTATGTGGATGTGAGTTGAAGTTTTTTGTATATATCGTGGGGTTTTAGGTTATATTGAGAAATTATTTTGTGTGAGGCTGGAGCGTTGTATTGAGTAATAAGGGTAGGTAAGGATTGAATAATTATTATTGATTTGTATTTGGGTTTATTTATATTTTTAGGATTAATGGGGAATGTCTTTGTGATTATAATGGAAGAGTAGGTTGGGTGGTTTGGTTTTATTGGTTGTATTGTTAGTTTATTTGGTTTGGTAGTGTGGTGTTGTATATGTGGTTTTTGTATGACGAGTATATATGAGAAAGCTTTGTATTTTTTAAATTAGAGTATGATTTTTTTTGTTTTTTAGAGGTGATAGTCTCTCTATATCTATATGTTATTGTAAAAGTTTTGATATTGAGGTTGAATGAGTTTGTTTGGATTTAATGTGTGAGGTTTTATTTGGTAGTTTTCTGCGGATGTCCGAGTCCTGAGAGCTTAGACCTGCGTATGTCCGAGTCCTGAGAGCTCAGACCTGCGGATGTCCGAGTCCTGAGAGCTTAGACCTGCGTATGTCCGAGTCCTGAGAGCTCAGACCTGCGGATGTCCGAGTCCTGAGAGCTTAGACCTGCGTATGTCCGAGTCCTGAGAGCTCAGACCTGCGGATGTCCGAGTCCTGAGAGACTAGACTCATCCAACTTGAATGTAGTTGAGATGTTATTTTGTATTTGTACATGTGACTGGATCTACAGCCTCAGTCCTGGATCTACAGCCTCAGTCCTGGATCTACAGCCTGTCCATCTGTTTGAGTTTAGAGTTGTTCCTCTCTGATAGGAGGGTCTGTAAGAACAATGATGATGAGCAGTAATGTTGGACTAAGCATCTGCTTCCAACCCCTTTTCAAACCAAGTACAAGTTTATTTTGTATGTTATATTGATATATGTAAAAATAAGTATGTAGGTGCATAATAAGTACATACATAAGAAAATGATCCAGGACATTTGTCTCTGCCCCTTTTGGACCGATGGCTCAATGTGTTATAATCTTATGTGTTATAATCATTGCAGTTCTTGTGTTTGAACTGTTTGATTCTCTGATCTGTTGTTGGCGAATCAACATCTTTGTAAAGTCTTCAGAGATAACTATTGTTGTGATTTAGAGTTATAAAATTTAACCTTGCAATAATTGTATTACATACAGCATAGAAAATGTCACATGTTTATATGTCACTTATAGTTGTTTTTTTCCAATTCCATTGAATTTTGTTTTTAAAGCATTTTTACTTTCCAACGTTTTTTTTACTTTACAAAGTAAAGTAAAAATCATTGATTAACCTTGTGCGTCACTGGCACTTTGGGCTGCAACCTGTGTGTGTGTGTGTGCGTGTGTGTGTGTGTGTGTGTGTGTGTATGTGTTTATTTATGTCTTTAATGTATTTATTTTTATTGTGGCTACATTAGTGTGATAACTCGCCACCACCAGCTAACCAATGCAGCACAAACGGTCAACTACAGTAACTTTAAAAGGTGACACATATATTTCAGGTAAAAATCAAAAACTATTTTTTTACAAAATAAGAAATGCTTTATTGACAAAAATCCAGTCATTCAAAATGTCTTCATTTAAAATCTCATAATACTGCTTTCAAATTCATTCAAAACAACTACAAATAATTAATCTATTGCCTAATTTATTTTCTCAGCAAAACTTGAAAATGTATCTTAATCAACGCACATTCTGACTGCCTGAAAACAAGATTTACCAATGGGACAAAGCAAAATGATCTTGTTTTAACAAAAGTCTCCTGGAATGAGAAAATAAAGCAACAGTTCATGAAATAAAACTAACATTGATTGATGTCCAGTTGGAGAATCTTATTTACACAGTCAGAATGTGCTCAGATTATGATAAAAAAACACTCGATTCAAGCAATTATTACCTCATATTCTATCATTTTTTGCAGTGTGTACAAAAATAACTGCTCCAAAGGGTTTGTTTGGATTACATTCAAGAAGAATGAACTGCTCACTCCACACTTTATGGTTCATAAATAACAAGTAAGTCCCAACAGTGTGAGTCTTATCATATGAAGTTAGACAATAGCAACATTAGAAAACATTTTGTCTGTATCATACTTTTGTCTATAGAAAGAGCCTTGGGAGTTACTGTTCGACGCTTTGGGCCGAAAGCTGAGGATGAAAATCTGAAGATGTGACAGAGGCCTATGCATGCATGTGGAAACTATTGATAGAATCGAACTGTTTTAGAGCCATGACCTTAAGGTTAAAGGTATGTAGGAGGATTATCTTCCGGGTGGATCATCAAGATACTGGTCCTCCCAATTGTCAATCATTCTGGCGATACAGCTTGTCAAATAAGACCAGAGAGTTTTATTCAAAACGAGGAGAAGGCGGTTCTTTTCTGAAATTTGGGAAAATCCTCCCATATAATGTTAAGTTGTTTTAATATTCTTAAAAAGGGTACCCCAGCTTTAAAATAGACTAGAAATGTGCAAAATAAATCTGGTTTATATATAAGTGGCTTGGATCACTGCGTCACATTAAAATAACACAACGCAGTTTTAATTGTGCGTAAAAGTCATGCGTAAAGTTCGTTTGTAGAAATGGCTTCACATCTGACTGCTCCAAAAGTCTCTGAACGCGAACGAGTATCGGGACGCGGGACTCACGGAGAAGTGCTGATACCGCGGATGGTGTAGTCCCACGGGGGACGGGTGCTGGAGCGAGGGGTAGCCCAAGGGGAAGGCCTGGCTCTGGGGTAAGAAGCTGGGTTTGTCCGTGTCTACAAGATGAAACGGCTTCCCGTCGCGCACCAGAATGGGAACCACGACTCTGCGCAACAGCGACGGGTGCTGCTGATGCTGATGCTGCTGCTGCTGCTGCTGGTGTAGCTCCATTTCCATCGCCCCATCCACAGACCGGCCTCGCTTCATCTTGTAGCGGTGATTCTGGAACCAGATCTTCACCTGGGTGGGAGTGAGGCTGAGCAGACGTGCCAGTTGCTCACGCTCGGGCCCGGAGAGGTAGCGCTGTTGGCGGAAGCGGCGCTCCAGCTCCAGGGTCTGCGCTTTGGAGAAGAGCACGCGTCGCTTTTTGGGTTTCTTGTGGGATTTGTCCGGTTCAGAGCACCCCTCGTCCTGGGAGGAGGAGGAAGAGTCGTCGGGTTTGGTGGAGTCTGGACAGGCCTCGAAGCTGCCGTCATCTGGAGCTAAAAGTGAGTAAAAATTCTAGGTTAAAGCACATGCGTAAAGACAGACTTTTGACGTGACAAGATAAAGGCCTTTATCTTTGGGTTTCAGACACAAGATTGGTTCCTGATTTAAAAGATATGAGTTGTTTGGGTAACTTCGCCAATATGTTTTACTATAACGAGATAACCCAAAGGATCTTTGACGCATTTTGATCTGGTGATTATCCAATGAAAGCTTAGCTATAAAAGTGTATTTCCATGCGCGGGAGGCCTTCCCGTGGGTTCCTGATTTAAAAGACTATTCCCTCAATGTTTATCTCACTTCACCAAGATTACAAGACAAAACAAGGACTCTCCCGCTAAATGTACATTGATCTTATTATTAAATATTAATTTATTTGGATAAATTGACACAACAGTTACATTGCACTACATCACCGCCTTTGGAAATGTTTACGGAAATGTGTGCCTCAACAAGTGGAATTCTGTAAGAAAAAACTAAAGATTCATCTCTGTTTTACGCAGTCATGTTTGCTTTCTTGTTTTTAGTTCTTATCATTCTTTCTAAATTCTGTTTGAGATTAATTGATATTCTGTCCACTTGTCAAGTTTGTGTCCCAAGCACGAACATGCGTCTGCAACTGTCCGTAAAACAGAGCAAAACCTTTCAGTTAAAATTGATCCATGAGAACCCAGTGTAAGTAGTTTTGATCCCCGCCAAAAGTCCTGGAACTACAGCTTTAGTGGATCCTCAACTTGGTAAAAATCCTCCGAGACTGTTCTGTAATGTGTAAGTGAACTGAAATACACTTACACATGCAGGGGCTTCTGTCAGAGTCCACGCCCCAGGACGCGAGCGGAGACGAGGCAGAGCACGACGAGTAGACCGGCGACGACCGAGGGACCGACTCCGAGTCCGGCAAGTCCAAGATGCTCCTCACGGAAAAACTACACCTGCTGGCGCTGGGTCCTGCCATCTCACACACTCAAAAAACAAACAAATACAATCTAAAGCCGTGCTCTTACACAACCCACTGCGTCAGATCTCTGCTGTAAAGAGTGTTGATCGAGCAAATAGCCAGAGAGGAGACGCAAACACTCTGGATGCTGCGCCTGAATTCTTATATGGACCCCCCTCGCCCCGGGTACCTGAATGGATGACGCGCCGGGAGGAGTTGGAGAGATCTCACCCCAAGAGAAGAATCCACAGCTCCGAACAAAGTGACAAGGAAGCACTTGTGATCATTACACATTCGAGGCGTATCTCCTATACCGCCGCATGGAAACAGATAATAAGTGATTGTTGCGCCCTGCGTCTTGGGTGGTAAGTGACAACAAGAAACCCATCTTCCCCCTCCTCCTCTTCCTCCCTCCTCCTCCTCCTCCTCCTCCTCCTCCTCCATGTCCTCCCAAGCGCTCTCCACGTCCAAATAAACCACCCTCGACACGGCTTCACCTCCGTGTCAACATTTACATACAAAGTGAGCAATTAGCGGGGAGTTGGTTTTACTAATCAGGCCATTAGGGCGTGAAGAGAGAGCGCGGGCGGCGTGAGAAGACCACAGAAGACCACAGCGACAAGTGACGAGTGGAGGACCCTCTCGCAGACCCATATATTCATGACAAGGACTCATACAGGAGCGAGAGAGTATAGGTTCAAAGTATGAGTGCGGCAGGTTATGTGCGCCTTCGGTTCAGGGCAGAGGTGGTGAATTCATTTGGGATCAGAGGCCGAAAAACAGAAAGTAAATGAATATAAAGGAACTGGTTCTGAGCCGAAAGAAGGGATTTCCTTTTTATTAAAGATGAAGAGATTCTGTATTGGTCTCACAATGAAATGTGGGATAACAATAAGTCAAAATACAATACAATCTCTAACTTTAAAGAAGCAATAACGAACTGTATTCTAGGGCAACAATAAATATAGTTTGCATCTGTATTTTGATATGACTTTATGACATGTTCTTGTTTATTGTTTAGCTTGGTTTAAGCTAAATAAATAAACAAGAACAAAATAGTGAAACTGGACCAAATATAAAGTTAAACACGTTACTTCTAATGACGTGTTTAGGTCAAAGTTTTAGAATAAATTAAATGTGGTTGTTTTTCCTGAGATGATGAACATGCCATGTTTGCACCTACACGTCCTCATACACAAACGACAATATGGGTCGATACACAAACGACAATATGGGTCGATTGTCACAACTCTGAAATCGGTCTATTTGGGCGTTTTTTTTGCCTGGTTGGGCAGCTTCGCTTCGCTGCGGCCTAAATGGTCGTTATTTTTCAGTGTATGGTCACGCGACGCAGCAAACCCAGGGACGCGTTTACAAACAGCATCACATTCTGTCAGAACTGCAAACAATTCATCTGCGCAAGTGTCATATTGCGCAATGCGCATTACAATGCACACACCAGCCGCCATCCTGTTCTATCCTCCTAACAGTCTCCAACACTCACAATAGTTAGGGTTAGGGTTAGGGTTAGGGTTAGGGTTAGGGTTAGGGTTAGGGTTAGGGTTATTGTTTCTGGTAAATATATAATCTGTTCTTAAAATATGCTATAACGAAACATTTAGGTAACGGTACAAATGTATTTACCTCCGTAGAAACAACAACTTCCTTGTTTACCACTTGATGGACGTACGTAAGGAAACGTCATGCGTCACACGTGTGCTCCCAGCTTTTCAATACAAACCACTAGGAGTCGCATACGTAAAATAGAGTCGTTTTTGGGAACTGTAGAATCGACCTCTATGGTCGTTTTTCCAGGAGGACGGTCTGGTTTGCACATATGCCACAAGTTGATGATAAAACATTGAGAATCATATAAGATAAGAGATCCTTTTATTCGTCCCACAGTGGAAATTTCAATGTTGCAGCGCACAGACAGGACAGTATAAGAGCACACAAAATATACAAAATAAGTAGTGGCTATGTTTCTTAACTAGCTGTAAATGCTTCAATACCAGTCTTTCAAAAAATATAGGGGGCCACTAAAATAGTCTTGTGGAGTTAGCCCACGGGCCTGAGGTTGACATGCCTGGATTTCGGGCCCAATCTTGGGGCAGGAGGGTCTGAGGAGTGACGACCCAGAACATTTATTTATCAACATTTATGGACATTGGTCTCTGCTCTTTTTGGTCAAATGGCTCTGTGTTTTTTTTATCATTGAATCTCCTGCGTTTGAACTGTTTATCTGTTGGCGAATCATCAGCTTTGTAACGTCCCCAGTGAAAATGACTGTTGTCATTTAAGGCTTTACAAAAAACCAAAAAAAAACATTGAATTTGCATTGTATATTCGGCCTCAGAGTCCATGGAGCTCAGGGTCTTTGGAGTATCGCGTCCATGACAGATGCGGGTCCAGACAGGCGCGCCATAATCAAGACAAATGAGGGAGAATGCGTCAGTGTCCGCAGAGGAAGCTTCTAGTGCACGGACCCAAAACCTGATTGTGTTTTAAAAAGTGACTTTCTCTGGGTTTTGTTCCGGGCTCACGCCTTACACGAACCCTTACTTTAACTCATTGACCAACAACAAGATCAGGAGTGGCCTGAGGGTATTCTCCCCGTGTAGATAATGTGGTGTTAGAGAGAGTAGTGTTGTTTTTCCCCCTTATAATCCAGGTTCAAAACAGTTCTGTAAATACAACTTTATGTATCTTCAATCTTTTTAATGTGATTGTTTATGCGAAAAAACTTGCCTTGCCTAAATTGATATAGTTTTAGATATGACTTAAAATTGGTTGTTTACAGTGTAGCAACTAGCTCCATGTTTAGAGAGATTAGATAGAGATTTTTTGTTCAAGTATAGTTAATTTCATGTTTTGTGTGCTCCTCAGTTCCCTATCTAAAAAAAATCTCTAAATGAGATTTCAGGAGGAGAACTAAAAACTTTAGCAAAATAAATATAACCTCATGGTGTCCACACAGTCTGTTTTATCTCTCCAATTAAAGCTGCAGCACTTAATCATCAACAACAAAAACATTTAATGAATTCATTTCTTTAACTCCACACTGTAAACCCTACTTCAATCCTACTTCAGATATCAAAGTTATTTTAAATAGATTTTTCCCAGTAAGTAGATATTACTCATTTATTGTTAGTTTATTTAAAGCTTGCCTATGTCACTCAGGGTTTTCTTTGAATTGAACTGTTTCTGTTCAAGGAAGCCTCACTTTTGACATTTTGATGTGTAGACTCTTTAATGAGGCAGGTGTGACAATGGCAGGGTGTCTTGGTGGCTGAGTGGGTAGCACCATTGCCTCTCAACTACAGGGTTCTGAGTATGAATCCCGGTCGGAGCATAGAAATTTAAACTTTATTGCAATCACTCGAGTTTACTTGGTAATATCAAGTAAAGGATGTACTCGAGGAATTCAAGTGAAGTTAATACGCAATTTATTTCCATGGTTTTTTCAAGTAAACTTTACTTGTCAGGGTTTACAGTGCATCTCTCATAGGATCTCTGAACAGTGTGTTTCTATGTATTTGGCCTGTATGTCACAGGTTTAGATCAACTTCAGGTGGAAAAGTGACAAAGAGAGGACCGCCCTCACTCAGCCAATCAGCTCTCAGCCCATAGCGTCATATACAGACTACACAGGGGTCTTTCTTAAAAGTTTACAAAAGATTAATAATCAGATGAAGACACACCGCGATTAAGGACAGTGAGGACCCGGGACGTTCCTGAGTGGTCATGGACTCTATATGTTTGTTATTATTGTATTTCCTGTGTTTTAACTTTTGATTCTCTGATCTGTGTTGGGGAACAGACAACTTTGCACAGTCTTCAGACACGACTGATTTATGGCAATACAAAAATAAATGGAATGGAATTGATGTGATTTGTTCAGAGCAGTCAGTTATACCAAAACAGCAGACTTTTCCCAAATGTTTAAATTGGACTCATTCAAGACTCATGTAAGTGTAATTAAAATAGGCTTTCATAAAAAGAAAAAAAAACGCAGACACACACGCACACACGTGCGCGCACGAACACACACATTGTCCAGAACCCAACCCCGAATACAACCGGAATTTTGAAATCATAATATAAAGAATGGTGTAAGAATCTCTCGGAAACTCGTTAGAAAATAATAAAACTGAACAAAACCAAATCAAATCCGAGTCTCTGCTCTCGACACTTAAGCTGCAGCTCATCTCTGTATCTTTTTATTCATTTCTTGTGTCTTTTTTAAGCGCGGGTCTCTCTCACTCTCTCACGCATCATGTGCATGCACTTAATTCATTTGATAATTATCTGTTATGAAATGATCAGGCCCGAGTCTGGCGGAACATGGGACACATAAACTCGAGTGTATAATGCCAGATGTGGATTCAGATGCTTCTTATTATATAAAAAAAATATGTATAAATGTTCATGGGAAAAGAAACCAAAAAACAGTGCGTAAGATGCGTGGAGACGTAATTAGTTTAGTTTTTTTTTTGTTGAAGAATTGTATTTGTTCACAGATTCATTCAGTTTGCATGACGGGAGTTTGGTCAATAGGAAATGTATTATTAAGATATAGTAGTAATAATAATAATAATACATTTTATTTATTTTGCGCCTTAAATTGTGCTAAAGATTTTTTAGTCCAGAGTTAGTGTTCATTTAAATTGTGCTGTGTGCTTCTCATACTGTTCTGTGACTGGTGATGCAACACTGACATTTCCCTTCTGTGGGACGAATAAAGGATCTATTCATCTTAATCTTAAAGTTGTGACAGAAACCAAATAAAGCATGCCTAAAGCTATAGCGATAGAGTCAAAGTGTTTTGAGATAGATTTAGTGTAAAATGGTGTGGTCGTTTGTTAATTACGTACCCCAGCTTTAATAGGGAACAAAGCCAGTCTGTGTGGATAAGTTACGTACGCGCTCCTGTTTGATATCGATCTGTGCAGCGTCCACTCCAGCCGAATCGCGCATGGGCAGTTCGCATCAGTTTTTAAGGGGGTGAGACTTGCCTCCCCCTCTCCCCTCCCTATCCCCTCTCCCTCTCCTCTCCTCCTGGGTGGTCGAGGCCCTGGACACAAATACATGCCGGGCAGAGCAGCCGCGACAAAAGCCCCCAATGTAGCCCTCGCGATGGAAGAATTGTTCCAGTCAACATTTTGCATTTGTTCAGTGGCGCAATAATGGCTGATTGACGCCGCACCACAATGTGCTTTAGCCCCGAGGGATAAATCCGGGCTTGTTCTGTGTTGTCATGGTTCTGAATGGAGCTCAAAAGGCAGAGACGCAGGCCTCATCCACCAGCCCCGGTCCGCGTCCAGCCACAGCGTATAGACGCGGGACTGAAGCACTATTAAAGTCCCCTTAGATTCATGTGGAGCCGTGACCTGCACCAGTCGCATATGGACACAAATCTGCTGCGGATCCGGGGGAAATATATGGGATGTTTTGGATGCCAGAGGAGAGGATAGGGAGCTAGAGAGAGTGAGAGATAGATGGATAGATAGATGGATAAATAGATGTACGAAAATGTCTCAAATCAATTAGTTGATGCCTCTTGAAACCCTTGAAAAAAGCTACATAAGTAAATAATAGTTACTATCAGAAAATAAATACCAACAGAGAGTACCTGCAGGTTGCAGGTACTTATTTTATGATGATGACCAGCGTTCATCAGCTTATTATATGGCTATCTGCTAGCTGGACACTCAAAATAAACTTCAGTCTACTTTTAAGAATGCCGAAAGGTTTATTTAATGACTGCAAATAAAATAGTTCCCAAAGGTTTTCACGTTGCTTAGCAACGTGCCATGGCCAGGCAGTGTGGCCCGGCATGGCTCGGCGAATAACAGCTAGGCTAGCTACTTATTTATATTAAACTGGACGTTTGCGTTGAAGGTGCAGTTGGAGCTAAGGACGAAGTGGCTGGATGACTTGGGAAGTGATCTGGCACATGTTAACCGCAGCATCTGTCAGTCACACTCCACACCAATCCTCACCTGGCAGCAATCAGGCACTGCCCTCATCCAGCTTCATATGGTGAGGAAGCTTCATTCACGCTGCAACCCTCCTCCTCCCCATCTCTGGCATGTTCTGAGCCAGCTGTTTCATCCTTCTCCTAAGCCACCATCACCAGAGTCTAGGCCCGGAAGACCTGCACCGGGGTCTAGGCCCCGGAAGACCACCACCAGGGTCTAGGCCATGGGGGATTTAATATCATATCTTTCCGCTTCTGCAATCGTGCAGAGCTCTGCTGGGGTCTAAGCGCCAAACCTGACCACCCTCTGTGCAGCACAATAATTTGTAATATTTGAAAAAATTGTCCTCAGAGTCAGTTGTAATGTATGTAGTCAGATTACTGCCAACCAATTTACAATTCTAATAATCCAATGCTTTGTCTGCTCCAGTCTCTCCAGATTGAAATGCTACATAAACATTATTTACAAAATCCCAGTAGGGTTTATCCAGATAAAGTGGCCTCAGACAGAGGTTGAGAAGTACTGGTCTGACGTCGGCTTGTGTCTCTCACAAAACTCTTTTCAGATCGGGACCAGTGTAAATATTGAATATAGTGAGTCCAGGGCTTTTTCTCACAACACTCTATGTCCACCTCCCCCCCTGTCCCCCCTGTCCCCCCTGTCCCCCCTGTCCCCCTGTCCCCCCGTCCCCCCTGTCTCCCCCTTTTGGACCAGTGCGTGTTTTGCTCTTCTATTGGAGGGTCTGTAAACTCCACAAATCCTCCAGACACACACACACACACACACACACACACACACACACACACACACACACACACACACACACACACACACACACACACACACACACACACACACACACACACACACACACACACACACACACAGCCCCCTCCCTCTCTCCTCACTGATGCTTCAGGGCTTGTGCATGTGTTGAGGGTCTGCAAACTCAGGGAACCCTCCTGCTGTGAGTCTGTGGTCACTGTTGGTCCAGAGGAAACAAAAACTATTCATGTCGATGGCTCTCTTTACAAGTGACAACAAACCGGAGCAAAGAGATCTATTCTAAAGCTTTACCAAAGATTTCGGTTTGCAAGATAGGTTCAGGACTCAGAAAACATATCAATACATATTTTTAACATTGTCAGGATCAAAAGTATCGAGTCTAAAGCAGAGTTGGCCATTCTTATCCATTTCACAGACCAAGGTCACCCAAAGCCCTTTACAATTGTTCAGAGTTCAGATATTGTTTCATTCTCCAACAACCAACACCATCCATTCAATCAATCATTACATTCAGACATATATGTACATGTTGTTAGTGGTAGGGGAAACCGGAGCACCCGGAGGAAACTTAGGGACACAGGGAACACAATTAAACTCCCCATTCTGACCAGGATTCAAATCCAGGACCTTCTTGCTTCGTGCTATCCACTCAGCCACATAACAGCTGCGCACAGGGGAACTCAAAGTGCTGAACAAAACAAGATTTTCACAGTATAAAAAGAATGAAGGCCAGTCCCTGTGCTCCTCAGAGTCCCAGCAGGAGGCCAGTCCCTGTGCTCCTCAGAGTCCCAGCAGGAGGCCAGTACCTGTGCTCCTCAAAGTCCCAGCAGGAGGCCAGTCCCTGTGCTCCCCAGAGTTCACATGGCCCTAACATGTCACAGTCTTCGATGCGAGGCCTGAGAGCTGAGAGCGAGACTAATGTGCTCTCAACCCGCCTGGGAGCGCTTCAGTCCTGCAGCTGTCTGCATTATCAAGATTTTGACTGTAGTGTGTTCATTGCTATTCACCCGTTGTCCCATTGTCTGTTTCATGGCACGACAACGGGACCTGCGAACCGGCCCTCTCCATCTGCATCTGCGGACTGCCCTGCCCGACCCGCCTGGGAGCGCTTCTGTCCTGCACCGGACCTGTCCACACTCTGAGGCCGCTGCGTAGCATTGGTCCTTGTTCTGTAGATTAGGTCCTGGATCTATAGCCCGTCCGTGTGGAGCGGATCCCTTTCTCAATAAGTGGGTCTCCCCGAGGTTTCTCACTTTTTTTCCCACTGGATCTTTGTGAGTTTTTCCTTGCCCGATGCAGGAGGGTCTGTCGGACAGTTAGTGTCTAACAGGTAGGACTGTGGTGATGATCCAGGACACTTATACATTCTACTACATGTATGGACATTTATCAACATTCGTGGACATTGGTTTCTCCCTATGGACCAATACATACAAGTATATTTTGTTAACTGTTGATTCTCTGATCTGTGTTGCTGATTTCAATGGTTTTGTTAAGTCCTCTGAGATGACTTCTGTTGTGATTTAGGGCTATACAAGAATAAGTTGTTGTTGTCTTCATCTCATTAGAAAACAAGTCTATTGCATACTCATAAGATGAGAGCTGATTGGCTGAGAGAGGGTGGTCCTCTTTTTTTTCCGCTTTTTTTTAGCGTGATAAGAAGCTAGTATGAAATCTAAAATATACAAACTGACAGATAATGTTAATGCTGTGTCTCTCAGCTCTTCAGTCGTCCACTTTGATCTGATTTGGGTTCAAAGACTCCATCATCTCTGTCCCACAAAGACCCCCGCACATGCACCTGCCCCTCTCCCTCCCTTTCTCTCTCTCTCCCCCTCTCCCTCCCTCTCTCTCCCTCTCCCTCCCTCTTTCTCCCTCTGTCTCGCTCTCCCTCCCTCTCTCTCTCCCTAACTCTCTCTCTCTCTCTCTCCCTCTCTCTCCCGTTCCCTTTCTCTCTCTCTCTCCCGCTGTCTCTGTCATTCCAACTCTCTCTCCCTAACTCCCTCTCTCTCTCTCCCTCTCTCTCTTTCTCCCTAACTCCCCCCTCTCTCTCTCCCTCTCTCCCTCTTTCTCTCGCTCCCTCTCTCTCCCCCGTTCCCTTTCTCTCTCCCTCTGTCTCTCTCTCTCTCCCTCTGTCTCTGTCACTCCAACTCTCTTTCTCCATCTCTCCCCCTCCCTCTCTCTCTCCCTCTCTCTACCCCCTCTCTCTCTATTTCTCTCCCTCTCTCCCTCTCTCTCTCTCTCTCTCCCTCTCTCCCTCTCTCCCCCCTCTCTCTCTATTTCTCTCCCCCTCTCTCCCTCTCTCCCTCTCTCTCTCTCTCCCTCTCTCCCTCTCCCTCTCTCCCTCTCTCTCTTGTAGGGTCTTCTCTCAGGGGGCAGCTGTCCTGAGGCCTGTGTTTGTAAAGTGCTCCTCCAGAACAAAAGTGAGTGTGCTGAAAGGATTGGCTCCTCTCTGGTCTGAGTTCTGGTAAATAAAGTATAGTTTGGCGGCGTGTTTGAGGCAGGTCCCACTCCAGGCTAAAGGGATCACCCAAGGACTGTGGTACTCATGATACTCGTTTGGGAGTTCATATTGACAGGTTTGGTCACGTCTTTAGAGAGAGGACTTCTGTTGGGGCCCAGAACTCTGAGTAAACAGTCAAAGTAGTTTTGTAGACAAGGCAGGTTTATTTGTATAGCACAGTTCATACACTAGAGACTCAAACAAGCATTCAAATCATAAATGATAATTTTATACATTAAAAAGAGTAAAGATTAAGTAAGATTTTAGCCTCCTCATGTTTAGTCTTGACTCTGGGACCAGCAGGAGGCCAGTCCCTGTAATCCCCAGAGTCCCAGCGGGAGGCCATGCAGTCCCTGTGCTCCTCAGAGTCCCAGCTGAAAGCCAGTCCCTGTGCTCCTCACATGGGAAGAGCTCAGAGTAGAGCTGCTGATCCTTTACTTGGTGATGGACAAGAGAATGTTTTGACTGGAGAGTGTGTGGAGCAGGTGCACTGCAGAAAAAGGAAAGGTAATGATTGTTTGAATCGAGTGTTTTTTATCCTAATCTGAGTTCATCCTGACTGTGTTAAACAAGATGTTCTAATAGGAAACACTGGTCAACTTTAAAACACTGGAAACTTAACCAACATTTTCTTCATTATGAACAGTTTGTGTGAGCACTCTCGCTTCTCAGCAAGAAGGGTTAAAATCCCCGTCGGTACAGGGTGT